TCGTTTTAGTGCATCCCGCATGATGATTGTCTCTTCGATCACATAGTGTGATTGGATGTGTTGGATTGCAGCTGTGACTATTTGAGGAATTGCCTCTTCCTTCCATGTATATTGATTAAATGAATAATGTATCAGGTTGGGTAGAAATGGTGCATTGTTAGTTTGATCTAATTCCTGTTTCGATTTTGAAGTTGAATATATAAAAAAAGTCTGCTTTTCATTAATAGAAGTGAAAAGTAATTTGAATTTTAACTTTTCATCATCTTTGAGAATTTCGTTTTCAATAATATTCGACATTGTTTTCGTGAGAATAATATCGAGATACGCACATGTAATTGTAAAATGGCGAACCTGTCTTCTATATATAGACAAGTATTGTGTATGTGTGTCACCATTACCGGAGAATCGAACTTTTCTTCCGATCATCGCTATCCTAACGCTAATCCCCGTAGAAATTCCGATTTGGATGAAAAGAATTCTACCTCAAGCCGTCAGTAGGTCACATAAGAAACGTAGCACGAAAATTTTTACAAAAACCAAATGTACTTGATTTTTTATCATTTTAAAGCTAATAACCTAAAAAAGCCTAAAAATATACTAATATTGCTATTCTAAAGAATTAAGTGATCTACAGTGCTCTAGCAGAATATTGTAGACACTTTTAAATTTTAAATATCAAGCTAAATAAGCAAAATATTAAAACAAAGATAAAAATTTGAATTCTTGAAAAGTTATAGCTTTCAAACAAAAAAAGAAAAAGAAATGCCATACAGTAATTTTTAACACCCAGCGACACAAAATTAACACCATTTGATTCGTCATGACTAGAGATGCGCATAGTTACTAACCGATATCGTAAATGCCCATACACAATTATACATATGGTTAAGTTCACCAATTAAGGCATTTGTGATAAACAAACGCATTTATACCGATACAGAACATATACAGAACATATGTATAAAAGTTCTATATGGGAACATTTAATCAAATTGGTCATATTGCTGGATTTCAACAACAGCATACAGAATGTAAATATTGTGAAAATTCCAAATATCAATGTAATAATTCAGTAATTCGGTGTAAGTTACATCTGCGTGTATGTCCAAATGCCTCAATTGAAGTTAAACAATCATTTTTTGATATGAGCTTTGAAAATCCAGAAATTGCTAATACAAGTTCACTCAATGCCAATTCGCCTGGAAGTTAACTTATACAATACAAAGCAAAATCAGATCTTTTCAGTAATACATTAGCATGGAAGTGCATTGATAATATTGATCTAATTACTTGGTGGATTGCAAATTTTGCACAAGCAGTGCCTGAATTAACACAATTAGCACAATGCATCTTAACAATTCCAACATCATCTGCAGCTTCTGGTCAGCTTTTGCAAATATTTCATAACAAAAAAAGAAATTGGTTAAGTAGTAAGCATATTTTTAAATTAGTTTATATTTATAGTAATTATAAATTACAAACTCCTTCAGATAATCAAAAAGAATTGTCAAAAAAAACCATTAATGATGAAAATAAGCATCCATCAATATTATGCTGGTAATGAGAGTGATGAAAGCAAATATCAGGATAATAATGAAAGTGAATATCAGGATGGTAATGATAATGAACAATTTAATATATCAGATAATAGTGATGATATATTAGAAACATCAAGTGATAGTGATAATTATTGATAATAGTTATAGAAAATAAAATTATCATTAGTTTATGAATTCACATCATGTATTTTGATTACTATATATATTGTTACCTGATGAAAGAGATTTACCAAGTTATCTGTGAGATTATATAATCACCAATTAATTTTTTGTTAATTAATTTATAATTTTGTTGATCAATACTCTGATTCTTTATCAAGTTGATCAGGTTTTCAAGTGATGATACTAGTTCCTGACTAAGAAGATAATTTGTTAATAGTTTTGTTATTTGGTATTCATAATCTTAGGATAAACTACTTTGTTAATAGAGAGTGTGAGAATAGATTAATAATAATTCAAAAGAATATATGTATTTATTTAATAATAATAATAATCTTTATTTTATTTAATAACTTTTATTATAATGATGAATGATTTTATAATTCTATTGAACTTAATTCTTAATTGTAATTCTGTTTGTAATTATTATTTTCTCTATTCTAAAGCTCTTCTTATTTATAATTAAATTTTCTCTCATAATTCTCATCATGATCCTACATTACAAGACTAATGAATTATTTTTATTTTAATTCATTAATCAGTATACCTTCCTATATTTGAAATTTATTGGTGTACTCCATATTAGAATATCTTTTCTAATAATATATCAATTTAAGACTTTGTTTCACTTATATATACTAACTTTACTAATCTCATATATTGCTAATTTCACTAATTACAAGATCTGATCTCATGCCCAATATCACACAGATCAGGATCTACATGATGATATAGTCCAATTCCATGCTACAATGTATTAGAGCTGATAATTTTCTGTAATTTACAGAATATCACAGAATATCACAGAATTCACAGAATCCTGTGATAAATACATAATTCATTTTCAATCATCACAGAATAGTACAGAATTCTTATTTGTTATAATTTTTCACAGAATATTGGTACTATATAAATTGAAACAAATAAATATGTATTATAATCATTTTTAGTATCTTTAGTAAGTGATTTTACAAATATCAATAATTAATAATAATAAAACAAAAAAAAGAAAAACTTATGATATAATTAAGAGCTAATGAATATCCAGATTTTTTTCAAGTTGATAATGGTATTATATTTTGTATTTTCTATAATAAATCAATTGATTAGAAAGCTAAATCAATAATAGATGGATATCTAATAGCAAAAAACATAATATAAATAAAGCTAAACATGAAATTAATAAACAAAATTTACAACAAATTACAATTGCAACTATACTTACAACTGCTAATTCTAAAAAATAAGTTATTGAAGATTTGATTGAAGCATTTTCTATTACAAATATTTCTCTTGAAAAAGTAAACCACTTGCTCTCTTTTTTTCAAAAATATTTAAAAGAAGGTGGCACAATTCCAAAAGTATCTACTTTATGTTAAATTTATTTACCTTATATTTTTGAAAAATATCAACAAAATTTATGTATATTTTTTCATTCTAAATCAGTGACTATTATTATAGATGAAACTACTGATAATTATATAAGAAATGTAATAAATATGCTTTTTATATATAGAAATATAATAAAATTAGTTTTTGTCAATTTTCTTGAATGAGTTAATAATATAATTATTAGTCAAACCTTTATAACAATCCTTTCATTTTATAATATACTCTTTAATTATTCTCATTTATTTTTAAGTAACTCAGCTACCTATATGAAAAAATATTATCATAAAGTATTAATACCTTTAATATCTTAACTTCAACATATATCATATTGTGCACATATTATTAATCTTATTAGGTAAGTTAATTATTATATTTAATTATTTGTTAAAATAAATTTAAATATTAATATATTTATATTATATAGTGATATATAGAGAACTTTACCAGAATTCTTTATATTAAAAAATTTTCTTGCCAAAATTAAAGAAACTTTCATTCATATACCTGCTAGAAGAAATCATTATTTTACTTACTTAAAAATATATGGAATTGCAAATTCATGCAAAATTTCTTTATTAAATATAACTTGATAGAATAATTAGTTTCAAATAATTCATCAGTAAATTTGATAGATATCAGATTAGCAATAATCAATAAATATACTGATTATTACTGATTTTTTGATTATACTGATCCAAAATCTGTGCAAAACTTTGAAAATAGAAATTTTAGAGAAGTGTAACCTGAAGAAACTGTAATGATTAGCATAATTACAGATTGTTACAGTTCTTTGGACAGAAATTAAATAGATAAATAATAAAAGATCAATTATATGCATTATTATTTATTTTTTTCTTTAAAGTTTACTATAGATATAAATTTAACTTTAAAATTCTTTGCCCATTAGTTTTTCAAAACATATATTTATTTAACAAAAAAAGATTTTTTTTATCAAATCTTGATATAATATATACCTCTTGTTCTATAGATTCTATTAGAATTATATTATACTCTTTGGTATAGTATAGATGAGGACAACTATACTTTTCTGGCTCATTTGACACAATATTATACTAATAAATCATAGCAAGGTTGTATGGGTCCTTTGCCAATCCTCAAAAAAACTATAGAAAGAGCAGTACTTTTTGGAAGAAAATGTGAAGATTAATTTATTTAAAATTGTTAAATTTGAAATTATATTTTATTATTCTTCAAGTTGTATTTATCTTTTCATACCAAACATCTTCATTTGATCTATAATAGCTTTGATCTTCAGCTGAAGTTACTGCAATATTACTAAATTACTCTTTATCATAAAAATTTCCAGATGTTCTCAGAATTTTGCTGCTTTTCAAATGAATCATGTCATAAACTTTTATACAAAAGTTTTCACTTTCAGACTCTTGTAATGATGTATCAAGAAATATGTCTAATATAATAATTATATATAATAATCCTTCAATAAAGTTTAGATATGGTAGACTCTCCAAATTCTTCAATAAAACTACTTTTACTTTGATAGAATCCAAAGGTAATTTCCATAATATCTTGTCAAATCCTATAGTTTTATGATAAACTGTCTTACTAATCATTAGAGCTAATTCTTTATACTTTACCTGTAAGTATAGTTTAGAATTTATAACAAATTGATCACAATTAACATACTTGACTTACTGCATTTACTATCTGCTACATAGCATTTTTTCTATTTGATGACCAGTATGAATTTTTTACATACAACTTGTGAAGTATTTCATACATTTCCATTGAAAAACTATTCAAAATACCATATTTATGAATTGTTAGAATTATGTAATAATGCTAACTATGCAGTTTAAAAAAACTATATTTCATAGTGAATAATGATAAGAAGATTCTCTTAAATTTAGTTGATCAGTTGGCAATGAGAACCTGTATCCATTTTCAAAGTTTATTATTAGTTCTTTAAAGTTTAATTGATTTTGCTTTATTTTATCTCAAATTCTTTTAAATCATTTTCAGTAAATGACTCTTGTTTACTTATCATATATATTCTACTAAACTTTGCATAAAGCATGCAGAGTTTATTATAGGTTATATCATTCTATATGTTAAAGATATTGTCTAACATAAAAAGAGTGATTTTCATGATATGTCAATAGTCTATGACTGTTATCACTTTTATTTAATCTAATTTATCAAATAACT